TCTTAATCCCTTGCAAGCCACTTTGGAGTTGTCCTTTTCTTTCTTAAACCTAAAGAATTAAAAAAAAAAAGAGCACAAAAGCACAAAAATATTTTCACTTTTACCCCAATTAACCTTCCCTAGGGTTCTTTTGAGGAATACTTACCCATCTCCATCCAAATTAGGGGCAACATGATCATGAAGAAGAAAAGTTAAAAATCTTAACATAAATCCTCCAAAACATGAAAAAAAAGAGAAGGAAAAAAAGCAAACTCATCAAAATAAAAGGAAAATTCCAAAATAGAAGTCAAGGAAAAGGCAGTCACAATCAATGTTTTAAAACGCGGAGGCGTGGCACAAGGCGTTCCACTACCTAGAGGCGTGAGGCGTAGTTCAGAACACAAGAGGTGTAAGCCTCCCGAACACAAGGAGGAGTAAGCCGCCTTAATAGGAGGGGGGTTAGGAGGAGGATGAAGAGGAAGGGTGGATCTCATTTTTTCTTTATTTTTAATAAAAATCTTTTATACTAAGAACAATAAAGATGCATAACACTAGTTGAAAGGGGGGTTTTGTCGAAGCACAGGCAAGCCTAACTCAAAAAAACAAATTGGGCTGCATCAAAAGGGGGGCGGGGGGTCTGAGGGGGCAAAGCCCCCCAACTGAAGGGGCAAGGAGCAAACCACTTTCTTTCCCCTTATTTTTTCTTCCCTTCCCTTTCCTTTTCTTTTCTTTCCTTTTCTCTTTTTTTCTTCTCTTTCTTTTTCTTTCCCTTCCCTTTCCTTTTCTTTTCTTTCCTTTTCTCTTTTTTTCTTCTCTTTCTTTTTCTTTCCCTTCCCTTTCTTTTTCTTTTCCTTTCCTTTCCTTTCCTTTTTTTTTTCTTTTTTTCTTTTTTTTTTTCTGTATTTTTATATCAGATGTGCATGAGGCGCACGAGGCATGCACCTCTAGCATGCCTCATGAAAAAAGTGCCAGAGGCATACGCCTCAGAGGTGTTAGTGCCTTTGGCATACACCTTAGGGAATTTTGGGAGCACCTTGCCTAGAGCTCCCACACCTTTTAAAACATTGGTCACAATCCATCAAAGAAGATCAAAATCATGTCCCCCAACTATCTAGTCACTCAAGCAAGGTGATAAATTCCACTCATAACCCCTCGATTGGCTCCTAGGTGCCACTTTGTTGAGCCATTTTATCCCCTTCTTTTCTAACCAAAGTCTTAAGCCACCTTTTGTCCTATGGAAAAGTCCTCCCTAGACCCCTAGGCAATAAAAGCCTCAAGTCAAAGGAGATAGGTGGTACCACTCTAAAGAGCTCTCACTCACCCAAAATACAATGAAAAGAAAAGCATAGAAGAGATCAAAAGAATGAGAAGGAAAAGGGAGAACTGAATGTTCTTGCTGCCCCAACGATTTGTATTTATAAGAGATTTTATAATGTACAATGACCATGATACCCTACTGCCCTAAAATAAAGACAGAGAAGAGTAAGAACAAATAAACAAGCCCATAAAGTATGCCTCTACCTGGAGTAGACCTCCTATCACCAATGCACCTGGCCTAGTCTACATCATTGTACACTTCAATCTTCATTTGGTAACTATTCTGATAAAGTATGCCTCTACCTGGACACCTCTTCAAGTAAGCAAGAATCCTTTTAACAGCTAGAAGATGTATACTCTTAGAATGTGCATATACTGACTAACCAAATTGATAGCAAAAGAAATGTCGTCTAATCATACAAAGATAGAGAAATTTCCCAACAAACCATTGATACATAGCCTTATCTTCTATAGGTTCACCACCCTTTGCATTGATCTTGTGATTTAACTCAATAGATGTATCTACCAGTTTAACACCCAATTTTCCTGTTTCTTGGGGAAGATCATGAACATACTTTCTCTGAGACACAAATATACCGTGTTTAGACCTGACTACTTCAATGCCCAAGAAATATTAGTATTTCAGTTCACACTAGTATTTTGCCTCATACTCCTTATTTAGTAGCTTCTTAGGAGAGACAATTTCTCCCACATTATTGCCTGTGATCATTATATCATCAACATAAACCACAAGGATAGTCACCAAAGATCTATTTCTTTAAATAGAGTACGACCAGTCTAAGCTTGCATATAACCAAATCTCTCCATTCTCCAAGGAATATATAATTCTGTCAAACCATGCTTTGGGAGACTGTTTCAGCCCACAAGAGAGTATGCCTGAGACAAAGTGTTACTATCTCGAGTAAAAATCTGCTACCAAACTATGTCATAATCTAAGTTCAACCCAGCAAAAAACTTAAAAACTCTATTCCTCTCAACCAATTTCCTCTAAGTAGCGAAATTGTTTCTATTCTTCCGATCAATTGTTTCCCTCATGCTACAATGATTTTAGGGTAGAAAAGTAAATTGACATCAGCTTCTCCCCTTGCTTAAGATTGGTAACTTCACTCCTTAAGTCAGAAGCTCTAGCAACATCAAGGGGCTCAGAATGTGTCTCTACACATAATCCGAAATTTCTTTAGCCATTTTCTTCCATAGGTAATTTGGCTAATATGGGACTGCATAAAGTTGCAGAGCCATGTCATCACCATATATTTTTCTTGAACCCATTTACTATGAGAAGCATCTGTAGTGTCCGGTATATTAGTATCACCAGCCAAATAACCCATCTTTCCTCTTCCTCCGATTGCCATTTTAGCAAACTGAGCCCACTCTAAATAATTGCATCCCATCAAGTTTCACTGTTGCAATCTGAAAACTAATACTTCCTGTCAGACTTTCAGACCCTAACTTACCTTCTCAACTAAGTTTAGGTTCACTTATAGCAGCCTCCATATTGCACACGATTCCAACACTTCAAAATCTGGCCAAAAGAGGAGAAAAAACACCCTGCTGTTAACTTGATTTCACACCTACCTGATAAAAAAAATCTCCCAAATGAAACAATCAATTCAAACAACCTGTTAATAGGTTGAAAACACTCTTTCAGCAACCCAACATATAAAAACAATCTGAAGTAACCCCTTCTGGTTATGATTCAGACTATCTCCTGTAGTAAAACCCTAGGACCAACCCTAGAGAAAGATAAAACAGGTCAGCCACTCCCTCCAGAAGTCCCAAAACCTACTGCTTCAAATCAATCTTAGGGGATAAAGAAAATCTACCCAGAAAACACTGGGTGCCACCTTCAATCAAAGATTTAATGTTTAAACCGTAAAAAGATCTGATCTCTCTGATTCTTCCTGGTTCCTGGGCAGTCTCCAGATCTCCAATCTTGGGCAGGAACTGAATCTCCAAGAAGCCTTCAAGAATCAGGCCAAAACAAACTGAACATCCAGCCCTAAACTTATCTCATGTAACCGGATGGGTCAAGGCAACATGAGATCAAAAAACGAGGGCTTAGACCTGCTCAGATACCAACTTGTTGAGCTGTCAACTAGCAGAACACTATTTTAGTGTTAAGAGAAGGAAAAAAAAAGGACAGAAAGCTGACAAGGAGAAAGAAGAGAAGAGAAACAGAGAAGAAAATAAAAAGAAAAAAGGGAGCAGAATTGAATATTCCTACCACCCCAATGATTTGTATTTATAAGAGCAATTTTATAGTGTACAATGACAATAATACCCTTCTGCCCTAAAATAAAGACAAATAAGAATAGAACAAATATACATGCCCATAAACAATCTACTGCAGTTCTACACAAAGAAGTCCTTAATATTTTCAGTATGGAATCTATAGATTTTCTCTTTTCTTCCCAAACGCTACATGCAATTGCATGGGAATACCTATGGGTTTACCCTTCCTCCCAGGTCAATGCCTTCTCTAGCAGCAAAATATATGTGACTGTAAAGACATACATATTATCTACATTACCCATATTGATGGGGACACCACTGGACAAGGTCTTAGAGACAAAATTTATACCAAAAACTGAAATATCTAACATAATAAGGCATCCGTGTACAGGCATCCAGGTATCATAAAATATGATAGCCATGCAAAGTAAGATGCTATACAGTTATTTATCAAACAAAAAAAATGTAAGATGCTATGCAGTTGGACCTATTATTAGGTGCGGAAAAAAACAAACACACAGTTTGCCCTCTATTTATGTGCTTTTATAACAGAGTTATCTTACGAATCAAAGCAAATCAATTTGGACCTAACTTACCTTATAATTCTAATTCTTTCTTGCAAGGTCAAAAAAAAAAGGAGGTTAGGGAACAAAAGCAATAATATAAATTAGAAAATTCACTTAAGAACTTATTCAAATATACAGTTTAGTTTCTCAAAAAGAAGGATATATGCAAAAGTAAATCTATAATTTTGGGGAAATTGTCTAAAACTCGCCATGAGTTTTCAACATTTCTCTTAAACTCATCACAACTTTTCAAAATGTCTAAAACTCACCATGTCAGTAAGTTTTTATTTTCTAAAACTCACCTTCCGTTAGTGCACTGTTAATGCTTCTTAACAGAGGTGTCCATGTCAGCATAAATAACAATTTTCATGACCAAATTACCCTTGAATGGYGASTTAGAGRRAAAAWKGKYYTTTTYAKTTTTCAATTTTCTTGTTTTTTTTTGCATTTTTAGTGTTTTGTTATAATTTCTGTTTTTTTTTTCATTTTTCTATTTTCTACAATCTATAAATTTTCCTGTATTTTTGTTATTTATTTACAATTTATGTGTTTTTCTATAATTTTTGGTGTTTTTCTACAATTTTTATTTTCTGATTTTTTTCAATTTATATAGTTTCTATAATTTGAAAATATTTTTTTGAACATTTTCCTTTTTCATGTCTAAATATTAAAATGGTAATATAATTTATTTAGTATATATTTTATATTTTTCTATGAAGGTTAAAATGGTAATATATTAACACCCGTTAGTCTCTTTAACGTCAAGTTAGTGACATGGTGAGTTTTAGACATTTTGAAAAGTTGTGATGAGTTTAAGAGAAATGCTGAAAACTCGTGGTGAGTTTTAGACAATTTCCCATAATTTTATATAGAGATCTACCATACCAACATTTTCCCCGAGGTGCATTGCAATTGAATTCATCTGTGCCTTATTCTCATGAAGACGGTTCACAGCCTTTCTTGATCTCACAATTTCCTTAGCAAGTGCCTAAAAGCATATTACATGTCATAGTGTAAAATATGGGGAAAAAACTTTTGAATGTCAGAAGCATGTAGTAAAACAGAGATTTTGACCATGAAGATTAGTAACAGAAAGGATCGAAAAGGATAAGATAATTAAAAGGTGTCACTAGTTAAAATCCTAAGGTTCTTCATCTTCACTTGAAACATAATAGTACCTGCAGAAAAAAGATCTCCATTTAAATCTACGGATGATGAACTTCAACATGAAATAGTAAACCGCATTAAGGTCAGGGAGAAAGGATATGATGCAAGCTCCACTTACCTAAGGCAAGTGGAAGGGGCAAACAAACCTCCATGAGGCCAGTATCTGACTAGGCTATCTGCTTCAAGTTAGCAGACCTCAGAATCCATCAAAATGGTATATGCAATCTAGAAACTGAGACTTAACCTCCCTCATCAAATGCCTTAGACCTCCATTAGCCATAGGAGCCTCTAGAATCCATTAATGGCAACCTAGAAGTCACTCTCTGTCTTATCGATAGGTTCAATTCACTCTTTTCTTGGGAATATTGGATTACATTAAATCTTCTCCTAAGACCTACTGTCCTTCACACAAACACTTCATCATCATCTAAGCCTTATCCCAACTGTATGGGGTCGGCTACATGAATCCTGTTTCACCATTCCATTCTGTGTAATGCCATCCTTTCCACAAACACCTTATGTTGTAAAATTCTCCCAAAATACTGCCCCTTTATAATTCAGTTTCACTAATATCGTGTGCAGTCCTATCATTTCCTCAATGCATTGTCAGAAATCCATGTATCCAAAATCAAGTCTCCTCAGTAATACAATGAATCACTGTAACAATACTGATAAAATGGACCACTCTAGCAGTGACCAGGCCAATAATCTCTTTGTCCTAGACCCCATCAGAAAAGATCTTAGAATTCCCCTCTTCCTAGATAATCCATCAATTGTTTGCTCAAAGAGTCCACATTTTTCTCCTAAACTGATGAGTTTCCATACGCTCTATGGTGGTACATTCCATTTGGGCTTATATCCTTTAGCTGTTTGGGATTCGTTAAGAGCTCAAGATTTCCATGTCCCCTAAAACAATAAATCATTATAATGACTCAAGGAAAGCTATAGACTCCATTTCTAGAAAAGTGCAATCTCTCAAGGAAATTATCTATTTATTTTAAAGAGATCCTTGAGATGACTTCCAAAGTTGAATTTCTCATTCTCTTGGGTGCTTTTTTGTTGATAAATGTTCTTGGGTACTTCAAGTAGGCAATACACTGGTTCTCTCTCCAGTGAGATTATGAAAAATTAATTCTAGGTGAGTTGACTTATAGATATTAATTTCCTTTCCTGTTTGCCTTTTAACTCCAAGGTTTAGTTTTTCCCATCTTGCTTTCTTGTTTAATAGTGAAGTTCTTTCATATATATAATTTATCTTAACCAAAAATATTAGCAACTTCACATCCAATTGTTTTGTGTTTTGGTGTAGGAGACTTAAAAGGTAAGGCCAAACAAATGATGTATGCTGTCACCCCAAACATCTACTAAATGTTCCTGTATAAAGATAAAGAATGTCCTAAGATCTACTTGAAGATGAGGAATCTATATTGGCACAAAAAGAAGCAAGTGAAAAAAGGGCATAGTATAGCTTGAAATCAAAGAAAAACAATTCTAGTCATGGAATCAAGAAAAACAAAGGGAAGAAACAAAGGAATTATGACAACTTTCATGCTAGGGAAAATAATTCTAGTTATTCTTTCAGTATGGCTTGAAATCCTAACCAAAACTAAGAACCCTGAGGAGATGTGAACTGGTACTTAATCATGAAAAGCCTGTATACGTCCAACAAGTTAGGGTAACTGATATGAGCATTGATAACCAGGCTGATCAAATGGATTTAACACAGTGTATCAATATGGGCACTGATGGGATAACCGGGAAACATCAGTAAACGATTTAAAGAGCATTTGCACATATAATACTGTATCTTGTTGGCACATATCTTTTTTTTTTGGTGGGAAGCTGGCACTATCATTTGAACCTATATTGTAAGTTAAGGGAGGAGAAACCATCAAATTTCATGAATTTATGATCAAGATAGTGTCGAGACCATTTACTTCCGTGCTCCATGATTCTTTATGGTCTTCATAATTTTTTCTTTTTTATTTGGTAATCAAAATTCTTTCCTTCTAAATCAACTAACAAGCATATAATGCATAAAACATGATACGAGGTGAAAAAAAAAAGTTGGAATAAATATAATAAAATTCAGCAGAATTTTATTTTAGCGAAGAAAACTCAAAAAGGCTATACCTTTGCTGAGACCATGTCGTTTCTCTTGGCAGCTTCTCTAATCGCTTTCTGTACACTCTTCTCCTCTCTCTGCACATCTGGAATAAACAAAAAAGCAACCCATGAAAAATCGTTATTCAAAATCACTAAAACAAGCATCGTATCAGACGATCCCATTGATCAAAATCCCGATCCGTGGAAGGAAACAAGGCTCAAACTGCATCCGTTTTGGAATGAATGATACATATCGGAAACAGAGGCAAAAGAACTTGATAAAAAAAAAAAAAGAACGACATATTGGGCTGTTGACTGTAAACCGAGAACTGACCTCGGATTTGGCGCTCGATATTGCGGCACTCTTGCTTGAGTCGCCTCTGCCAATCTCTCAATTGCTGCTGTGGATTTGGCTTGGGTTTCAACAGACTTTTCACTTTATCCATCTCTACCTTGTAATACCCAAATAATAGGGGAAAGAAAAGATATAGACGAAGACGAAGAAGTCAAAGAAGAAAATGCACTAAGATCGCTTAGGATCTTCCTTTCTGTATTTGTTCTTCCATGGAAAAATACGAATGCTTTCTAAGATGCGCGCGGTGATCAGACATACCAATTCTCGGAGTTGGACGCTGGCGTTGTGCCGCGGTGGCGCCAGCCAACCTCTCCCATTGTCCATACTCTCGGTTAGATGTGGATATGGACTTTCTTGGGATGTCCATTCTAAACTGGGTTTAGAAATGGGCCACCCACGGCCGTAACCCAACCACAACCTGGCCCATTATGGCATTATCTTCCTTGCATGGCCCCAATCAACAGGCAGAAAGCTCTGCTGGCTCAAACACGGATATTTTTCGTGGCCGCTTGGGAGGGCTTTCACACAGCGGCTTATAGCTTTGCAAGGTGGGCCCCACATAAGGATGACAGAAAGCCTAAAAGCTATGTTTGGTGAAAAAACCAAGAAAGTCCAAATACGCTTTGGTTATGGTTGAGCCCAAGAAAGTAACTTTCTGGCAAAGCTATTTTTAGTAGCTTCTTCAGTGAAGGCAGCTTAATTAAAGCTGAAGCCCTCACAAATGAGATGGGATTAATTGAACGTGTTAGCTGCTCAGCAGGCTGTGGAACCAATAATAACATTCCACACCAATCATAAAATACATGAAGCCCACAACCATTCAACCTCAGCTTTCTCCACATGACACACTATCCAACTTAGTTCCTTATTTGTCTTTTTGGTTAAAAGAATATTGATTGCAGATACTCTTTTACCTGAAGCCCAAGATAATATGTCATGCACATGAAGCTCCCAAACACAGCCCAGGCTGTTTTTTTCCTAACAGCCAAAGTTCCCCATTCATATCTACCACCCACAATACGCTACAGCGGCACGTTCAACATGTTTCGTACTTGTATGTTGTCATTGATAGAGGTGTGCAGCTGTAGCATCTTGTGGCTCTGTAGGTAGCATGTGAATAGTGTCTTGTGGGTAGAAGAACCTATCTCCGAGGTGCCAACTAGCTTGCTGGTAAGGGGGATAAGAGATTGAAGCACATCAAAGATTAGAAGGTTTTTGGGGTTCTGTCAAAGTGCCCCTCATTATAAGTACTTATTTATCAAATAAGCACTCCCAAAATGGGCTTAGAATCAAATCATGTTGTCATAAGATTTTTTTTTTTAGGGAGGGGTTATGGGCCATGAGGGATGGGCTAAGTCCCATTGTGTGAGAAAAATAGGGTCAAATAGAGTGACAAACTTGAGGTGCAAATGGAAGAAAATGGAGCAAAATTTTAAAAAGAAAAAAAAAAAGAAAAACAATACCAAACAGTGATTCAAAATGGAGCAAAAGTTTAAAAAGAAAAAAAGAAAAACAATACCAAACAGTGATTCAACATGTTTCAACAGTGGCTCTTTTCAAAGCTATCTATACTAAACCTAAATTAAAAGGCCAAATCACAAGGTTTACATGCTGATTTGTTGGTTTTTAAGATTATTGGCACATGGCATGACATGAGTGGAATGGCCAAAACTTCATTTTTCATTTCACAGTATCCACAGCATTGACACATTGATCAATGTAGACTAATATAGTGAGCACATCAGCCAGATTTTTTTAATGCATTCTTGTTAATTTCTATAATTACTTTCTAACTAATTCCTATATTTAAGGAAACTTTCCAAATTCAAATTTTTTTGCACTCCTAATCTCTTTTCAATAATCTCTTTCAAATTCAGATTTTTTGCAGTGCTAATCTCTTTTGGGTATATAGCATGTTTGTTATGTTTGAAACTGTATTGCATTGTATTTCTTCCTATATTTATGTGTGTGTGTGTGTTATACATATTTGATGTGGGTTAGCTTGGCCCAGCCCATCGCGGGCTAGGAAGCCCAGCCCACTAACGTCTGACAGAGTCAGCCACAGCAGGAGGGAGCTCTATTGCCTTCGTACGGAGCCAACCGCATGACGGTCAGATGTACCTACCAGGACCTGCTACCTAACCTCGTACGGCTCTCATCCGGGGCATTCATCTTCACCTACCTCCAACATGCTCAAGTATAAATAAGAGGTAACTCCCCCTTAAAGGGGATCCAGAACAAAAAATCCCAACACAAATTTACTCATTTACTCCCTACACCTACCTTGCCTCCTTAGTATTTACTCTGGGAGATTTGGTGCATTCGAGGACTATCGCCAAGACCTCACCTGCACCCTCTCCTACTTTACACATCGTACTAACTTGAGCGTCAAAGCCTCTGCCTCACATACCCACCCGAGACCTTTGACATTTCCTGTCTTGCAATATCTCTGGTCACCAAGGACCTCGCCTCGACCCACAGTCCTCGGCTACCACGATCCTCGGAGGGAATACCTTGCCTCGACTTGCGGTCCTCGATTTTGGCTCACCACTTCCAAGGCCTCGAAGTCCTCAACCAACATTCGAAACCTAGAAAGTGATTTTACATCGTTTCCCCCGACCAATCCGTGCGGCAACAATATTATAGAGGAGTATATATATATATATCTATATATGGCGCTTCTCAAATTTGGAACTCTTAACACTTTGGTAAGCCCAACCCTATGGTCCCAATCTTCAACGCAAAGGCTTTCAGCACTATAATCCAACCTGATCATGTAGGGGGTGTTTCAGTTTACCATTGCCAATATATATAAACAATTGCCACATCAGTAAAATCATATTCTTGTTGATGTGGCAATTTGTTCTGTTTCTTAAAACAAAATCATGCATATTAGCGAACCCCTTGAAACTCAAAGACAACCCAAATATTGCAAAAAGAACAATTAATAAGCAGGCATCATATTCTCTCCTAGAGATTTTGTACTTATAATTTCAATGCTATATAGCCCCACAGAAGAAGACTACACTTTTTTCCACCAGTTCCCTTTTTAATTGATATATTCCAGAGAGGACTAGTCATTCCATTGCTAATCACTTGTTTGAATGGTCAATGTTTTGAGCACAGGGGCAAGCTAGAGAGTATAGAGGGAGCCAGCACCCAGCATTGGACAAGATGACATTCAGTATTTAGCCGGTCAATGTCTTCAATTGGAATCTCTTGCCAACAAATTCCAACACCCTACCAACTTGATCTGACACTGCACATCTCACTATGAAACTGGGGCCCACCATAAAAGTGGAACCCGCCATGTATGATGAGATGTGCGGTGTCTAATGATGTTGATAGGGTGTTGGAACATATTTTGTTCGCAGGTGCTCAGGACCCCACTGTCGTAATCCTTAACAGGAGCAGCACTTTGACTAAGCTTATTCGGCTTTAACCAATAGTATCAACAAACCTAGGTATAAATGGAATATTCAGTATACAAATCAAATAATTTAGAACCACTATAGGTTAATGGTAACATGGGCTATTTGTCTAACTGATGCTGTAACCAACATTCACAAAGGAAGCACCATGGTGAAAAATTGCCTAACTAAACTACAACCACTCATGCTCAGGAATTAGTGATAATTAAAAAAAAAAAAAAACCACGGTATAGCTGTGGATTGAAGCTAATCTATATCCTCTCTCAACTTACTACATGGCTGCCCTAGACTATCAGTTTGCCATCTATAAAGATGATGCAAATGTAATCCTCTTTTAAGTTTAGCAAAGAAAGGAACTGTTCTGCCATCAATTTTGTGACCGAGTAAACCAGATATATAACACCAGTATGTCTTGGTTTGTGGGCTAAACTGGGCTTGTATACCAAATCTAGTCAATCACCTTAAATGAAATTCAGTGACATTGTTGCTAGATAAATTCCCTCCGATGACTTAATCATAGAGCCCTTCTTCACTCCAGATATCAACTAAAAAATCTACCATCTCCTGCATAATCAACCAACAAATTATATGATAATAACACCATTACCACAATTATGTAAATAAATGGGATAAAAGTTTTAAAAGAACCTACTGGTAATGGAATTGGCTGGGGAAAAGGCTCATTAGTTGAGAGTAGATCATCATAAGTTGTAGACCAGCTGTCAGAGAAGATTTGGAGTTACTTTATGAAGATGCAATAGATGGATGCTATGCAGACATCTGATCGAAGAATATTAAGATAGTTGAAAAGTAAAATGTGAAATAGAATGCATTTTGCAGAAAAATATTGCCTTGCATGCCCCCTGCCTCTTTGCTGGAAGGCTATTGTGTTCACACGTGGTACCTAAAACCAATTTCCAGGTTCTGTTTAGGGTGGAGTTGACTCTATTTTTTTATGAAGGATTATATAAGGATCACCTCCTTGCAACAACTTGTTTGGGGGCCAAAAGAGACCATCCCCTCCTCCAAAGTTCCTCCATAACCATTATTGTTGAGTGTAGTTCAATTATAGTCCTCAGCAATTGATTGGATTCATGGAACTCCAGCATCAACCTAGTAATACACTTGTACCTTGGACACATGGCCAACAGAGTGCCTTTGATAGATGCACAACATTCTTCTAGTGTTCAACCGTTTATATAGCAAGGGACAAAAGCCAATGTTTTGGGCTGAAAGCCTAGAACCTGGTTAGGTCGTCAGAACTTAATATTTCCAATTTATCTTTGGCTTCTTTCTCTAAAATACTAAAATCTGCCTGGTTAGGTTGTCAGAACCTAATATTTCCAATTTATCTTTGGCTTCTTTCTCTCTAAAATACTAAAATCTGCCTGGCTGGTGAATCCCATCAAGCCCATAAAAGCAACTTCAGACCTTTTTTTCTTTGAATCTGTAAGGTAAAGTATTTCATTAAAAACAAAAGGCCAGAATACAATATGTCCCCTGTACAATGAGAGACTGTACAGCGGAATAGACAGTACAACTCAGAAAAGACCGCCTCCAAAAAACACTATGAACTTCTTACAAAAAGGAAACCAAACTTTGGGGAGCTAGGTTAATTTAAACTTTTTACCAAAAAAGAAAATCAATCCAAAACTGTCCTTTAACCCTATTTTGACCTCCACTCTTCTCTGCTATGTTTCACTGAAAAGTCAATCATTTGGTCCCATTGTAGGAGGAGAAGTTTCCATTTTTTATACTTTCTATAATTAAGTGATACCATCTAAAAAATGATAAATGGTTGCATCAATTAGTTTATTGCCCCCCCCCCCCAAAAAAAAAAAAAAAGAAAAGGATACAAAAAATCAGCCCTTGGACTCACCAGTTGTCAGTTGAGTCAGTTGACCTATGGTCAAACTTGTCAGATCCACATATGTGCAAATTATTGCCTTTCTAAACATATCCTGCTAATAGCTTCAGGTCAAATCCTTGTATGGATGATTGGACCCACCATGAGATTTAAAATGGCTCAATTACATAACCAACCAAAATCGGGACACCCATACTTCCATTTGGGTAAGCATTACTAAAGATTCCAAATTGGACAACCATGACTTCTTACGATTGGAGGCACCTTCCATGGTTAGCCAGCAATGATTTTTGAATAGATAAGACCAAGCTACCTTTTTGGCCAAGTTGGACTAAGACCTAGGACCCTAACACTTGATGAGGGATATTCCTCATCTAGTAACCTCAATCACTGAAACACCTGTGATTGCAACAGATGATGCTCATGAAAGTTAAAGGGAAGAAAGAAAAAAAAATAAAGAAAGAAGCCAAAACAGAGAGAGGAAAAAAAAAGTTGAATGGGTGACCCAAGTCAATCTCACTGGTCAAAAAATTAGGTTACTACTAATAATAAAAATTATAATTTTGCTCCTAATTGGTACATCATATTATACTCAATATCTCCATCAACAAAGAATAAATTCATTCATTAATTAAGGAAAGCACGAGCCATCACCTAATACTTAACTTTAGTACTTTATCTACAACAATTGATTATTTCTTGCTGCAAAAAAAAAAAAAAAAAAACAAAACCAAAAATAAGTACCACCAATAAAGGTGTGGTATCCAAAGGTAGATTGTTTGTCATCAATGGATCCAACCCAATTTGCTTTTGTAAAAGCCTGTACTCAATCTGCATAGAAGACCGTCCACAGTACCTGTAAGAAGAAGCAATCTATTGCAAGTTGAAGAGGGAAGGGAAATTTTGTCTTATTTTAATTAGTTGCTATTATGTCTATTATGTTTCAGTTTAAGTGATATGTCCCATACTTTATTAGGGGCATAACTGTCATTGTATTTTCTATTGGAAACATATAAATACAGACTGGTTGGCTAGGGAGGGAGATAGAATTCTCTCTAGCTGAAACCAGTGCAAATCGAACCAAGAACATGTAATCCCTATAAGAAATATATATTCCCTTCTTTGACCAAGCAATTTCAAATACCAAGAACATAACCCAGTGTTTTACAAGCACAAGCAGCAAGAAAAGTGCAAGAGCCTTCTAGTGCAAAAGTGCAAGGCGAGGCATGCATCTTTTCATAGCAAGGCACAGATTTAAAAAAATAATAATAATAAAAAATAGTAAGAAACTGTAATACATAACAATGAAAACATAAATTTAAAAAGGGATTAAATGTTTTAAAAAGCCTTTGAATCAAATAAAAATACATAAGAACAACATATAAAATATACAAAGTGAAAACTTGGAAATGAAAGAAGGCATATATGCATTTCCGCATCCCAACTAGGATAGCAGGGCAGCTAGAGAAATACATGAGGGATTTTCTTTGGGAACCAGGAGAGGAAAAAAGGATCACCTGGTAAGATGGGAACAGGCTAACAAACCTAAGGAAGAAGAGGGTTTAGGGTTTAGGGAACATTGTCTTCTGAAACACTGTTTTGCTAGGTAAATGGTTATAGAGATTCCCCTTCATGGGTTGGAAGGTAATGATTGGGATGCTAAAGTTGCTCCCACTCCTCAATGTCTCCTTGGAAAGCAATTCGTGAAGTCTACCCAATCTTTCTTAACTCTATTAGGTATGATGTGGGAAGGGGTGACAAAATACGCTTTTGGGAGGACCTATGGTTGGCAGCAATTCCACTCAAAGACCAATTCCCTGAACTCTTTTCCATCTTTCAATTTAAAGGCAAGACCATATCTAGGATGGGAACACCTCCAATTGGCTTAAATTGGAACTTGGGTTTAGAAGGGGGTTAAGGGAATAGGAGTGTTCTTCCTTGATCCATCTTCTTGAATCTTTAAATTGTGTTCTTCCTTGATCCATCTTCTTGAAACTTTAAATCAAGCTTCTTTGGACTCTTCCCTTGAGGACTCTATAATCTGGTCGACCTCTCTAGACGACCTCTTTAATTGCTCCTCTTTTAAATCCTTGACCTCATCTAACATCCAAGGGGTGGCCTTCCCAGTGAAAGAAATTTGGAGTAAGCCTATCCCACTCAAAATTCAAGCTTTCTGCTAGAAATTTTTTATTGGAGATGTGATTCAAACTAATAAAATCAATAGAATATTTCAGAATAAAGCAAAACAAATCAGAGAAGAAGAAGGAGACAGCAAGAAGGAGGAAGATTGGAGAAGAAAGGAGAAAAAAAGGAGGTGTTCGAATATCTCCTCTTTCCCCTACTCTAATCTTTTATAAAACTTACTTAAGTTACATAAATTACAAGGAGGCCCTTAAGTAGGCTTCCACATCAGCACTAAACTTAGAAAAACATAAAAAAAAAGCTAAAAGCCCAATAAGAAAACATAACATGAAAGAACTAATAAGAAAGACACTAATGGGCTAAGGCCCAGTCTCTCTACACTCCCCCTCAAGCTGAGCATAGATATCCATCATGCCCAGCTTGCTTATATAATGAACCAACTTTCCTTTAGGAACACCTTTTGTCAAAACATCAGCCAACTGTTCTTCAGAAGCAACAAATGGTAGACAGACTTCTCCCGAGGCAACTCTTTCTCGTATAATGCCTATCAACCTCAATGTGTTTAGTTTTGTCATGTTGAACAGGATTGTGTGCAATGTTGATAGCAGCCTGGTTGTCACAATATAACATCATTAGCTTCTCACAATCTATACCCAATTCATCTAAAAGTGATCTCAACCACAAAAGTTCAGAAACTCCATGTGCCATTGCCTTGTACTCCGCTTCAACTGAAGATCTTGCCACTACAGACTACTTCTTACTCCTCCATGATACAATGTTCCCTGCTACCATAGCACAGTAACCTGAAGTAGACCTCCTATCATCAATACATCCGGCCCAGTCGGCATCAGTGTATGCTTCCAGCTTCATGTGTCCATGCTTAGAAAACAAGATACCTTTCCCTGGAGTCCCTTTTAGATAGCAAAAAACTCTCTCAGCAGCTGCTAAATGTGTATCTCTAGGAGAATGCATAAGCTGGCTGATTACACTAACTGTATAGGAAATATCTGGTCGAGTCATGCAAAGGTAAAGTAACTTCCCAACCAGTCTCTGGAACACCCCCTTATCAGGCAATAGTTCACCTTCAGTTGCTGACAACTTATGATTTAGGTCAATAGGAGTAGAAGCAGATCGGGCCCCTAGTTTCCCAGTCTCTGCAAGGAGATCGAGAACATACTTCCGTTGAAAAATGAAGATACCATCCTTAGATCTGGCAACTTCAATTCCCAAGAAATATCTGAGTTCTCCCAAGTCTTTAATTTCAAACTCAGTGTTAAGAAAACTCTTGAGACGAACAACTTCCTGAGTATAATTTCCTGTAACCACAATATCATCAACATAGACAATCAAGAGGGTCACTAAGGAATCTCTCCTCTTAACAAACAAAGTATGATCCGACTGAGTTTGTGTGTACCCAAAAGCAACAAGAGCAGCCTGAAATCTGTCAAACCAGGCTCTAGAAGACTGCTTAAGGCCATAAAGAGACTTCTTCAGTTTACAAACCTTTCCTTGCATTTCCTTCCCATACACCCGTGGAGGTAAAGACATATAGACCTCTTCATTTAGGTCCCCATTCAAAAAAACATTCTTTACATCAAACTGATGAAGAGGCCAGTCAAAAGCAATAGCTAAAGATAGTAAAGGCTAGGGAAAAAATTTCTAAGTAGTCAATACCATACACCTGAGTATATCCTTTAGTAACCAAACGGG